ACTTGAAGAAGAGTTCATCAAGGGGAATGAAATTGGGATTAGATTGATAAGCTTACAAGAAAGGACATGTTTAAAGGCTGGATTTGGGACATTTTTTAAAGGCTGGATTTGGGATACCTAGGGCCAGGGGTGAAAACAGTTAGCTTTATTTAGGGGTAATTTAATAATCTGTTCTGGGATTTGCTTAGCTTGATTCAGGAGATATTGATAAATCATAGGTGGACATTACTGCAAGGGAGCTGCAGCCAAGTGATCCAAGTGCAGAAAAGAAACATGAAACCAGAAGCAACCCCAGGCTGGGACACGACCACTTGCTTCCCAACGCTTCTTGGCCTCTTTCCTCGCTCCGGCTATCTCCACCTCGCTAGCATCCTTGCGAACAAGGACGGCATTCATGGCATCTGCCACCTTCAGTGCCTTCTCCACTTTCTCCTTATCATAAGGTTCCCCCACCCAGTGCAGGTACCCAAACCTCAGAATTCATAGAGGGTGCAAAGGGCAGCAAATTCTTTGAAAGGCCAAATTGTCTCGAGACTCGAAACAAAACCAAGGATACAGGATACACGAAGAGTTCAGGGCAGGGGGTCAGTTGCAGTACGTAGTTATATATACTATCCGGACGTTTAGGGTCCTGCACACGTACTGCTTGCACTGAATTCATATGAATTCATTGACGTGCTGACAGGTGGACATTGTCGGATGCCCGCGCAACCATAGGCTGGTGGGACCTTTCGTGCGCCTACCATCGATTTGTTTGGCAATTACTGCCACAAGTGCCCGGATACGTGACCTTGGAAGAAAAAGCCAGTGCCCGGCTAAAGTGATGAGTGGTGAGCTTTGTTACTATACATTGTACATGTTGCTGCGCATTATATATGTTGCCGAAGTCTGTTGGTTCGGAGCTACTGCAAGCAAGCTCCCACATTCTGATTGAGTAGTGGTGCCGGAAAAATGGGAGCGGGAGAAGCGCAATGCCAACCGACTCCCTAAAGCCCACAGCAATACGACTTGTGCTCTGAAACTGCCATAAGCAATTGTTGGAATCCACCCTAGGCCCTGGGCCCTGAACTTCTTGAGTCTTGGGGGAGGAATCACAGATTGAGAACAACAATTGATCACGCCTGCAAGTCCAAGACGCGTCTCGTAATCTCTGTTCCAATCATTTCCCTCGCCGTAGATTCTTCTGCAGTAGCAACGTCCTTTGCTATCTTCTGGGTCAGGGTGGTGACAGCCCAACCCATCCTCTTTCGTGCAAAAGTAAACGCACGCCACGCTCTGGTCACTGAACTCGCCGAAATCACTGGTGAGCGCCTCGAACCCATACTTGAACTTGCCTGGATAAGATGCATAGCAATACTTGGCTCCCTTTTTGATGCGACCAGCAAACGTCTTGTCCACCATGTCGCTGAGCACGGACGGTTTCTCCCTCAAAGTGAAACGCAGTGGCAAACGCAAAGTGGATCGGATAGATAATGATGTCTTCCTCTGCCTGACATCCTCCAACTTCTGCTTCTCCTCAAGCATAGGTTCGTTCTCATACATGTTCCCTCAACACGTTCTGCTTTCCTGGCGCTGTTTCATCCATCTCCCATCCCGGTGCGCCTTCGGAGAAGCAAAAAGGAGGTCCAAGAAATCTTTCACACCTCAAATCCGCAAACCAATCCAATCTACTGCATCAGGTTTGTTGGTCCAACCGGTCCGGGCACATACATTAATTAACCATGCATATATATATATGTATCCATATATATCTACATAAATTAAACTCTACACTCTACACTATGATGGTGGTTTTCGAAAGAAACACATCGCCTTGCCAACATGCGCCCGGCCCCTGCCAGGCCAAACCTTGCCAAGCGGCGTATCGATGAGCCCTTCGGGTACTCCTGGAATTAACATGGGAGACATACTCAATTCCATGTTAACTCCATTCTTGATTTTTGTAATGAGAAGAAAGTAAGGGAAACAAACAGCAATGGTGTAGCTGGTTCGCCTTCTCAAACTCAAACACCAAGCCTCTTCCACGCCGGCTGTTTAGGTAAACTCGCATCCGAAAATACAACGTTTCATGTAAATAAGTATAATTCCCTACACATCCAACGACGCAGTTTTCCTTGGATGTACGAAATGCGACGCAGTTTAACGGCATCATATGTTATTCGTCGCTCAAAAACTTCGTTAAGACAGTTTCGTTAAAACATGTTTAAACAGTTATATTATATATATATGTGTGTGTCTCAATTGAGTCCTGGCAGCAAATGTGTCAACAAAAAACAAGTTCAATAGCGCCTTTTTTTACCTGCACCATGCGCTGTAAACATCCACAGGTGCCAATCTCTTCTTGGCAATCGCAAGCTTCACGCGTGCAATTTTAACCGCATATCGCTCAGTATGCTGCCCTCCAGAGTTGACGATCCCTGGAAACAAACATGTGCATTGCAGGGGCTAGAGTCACAGTCTTTTATATACAAACTTGTTTCTTTAAAGTTTAAAAAAAAACTTCGGGCGACGGGGGGAGTCACGGTAGAGTCACGCTAGAGTCACGGTAGAGGTAGAGTCACAGTTTTTTATATTAAACACTTGATTCTTTAAAGTTTTTGTTAAACACAACTTCGAGCAAGGGGGGAGTTACGCTAGAGTCACGGTAGAGTCACGCTACAGTCACGCTAGAGTCACGGTAAAGGGGTGAACGATGGTGAACGTGTATACTGGCACCTGCTCACTAATTTAGGTCCGAATTTGCAAGGCTCCTCCAAAGGCATGAGGGGTTTGTAGGTACCATCCAGCTCTTTTGCCTTTTGCCTTCAAATAGGGATAGACCACTTTATATATACTGGGTGGACCTTTCGACTGGTTTGAAAAATTTTTTTTGTCATTCAGGGATAGTAGGGTTTGCAAAGCCTGGTGTTGGTAGAGTAATGACAAACTGCAATAATGCATCGTTTTCTTTCAAATTTCATTCAAATTCATTCAAATTTAGTTCAAATTTGCAAGACTAAAAATTGAAAGAAATTTGAATGAATTTGAATGAAATTTGAAAGAACCATGTGTAAGGGTCACCAATTCAGGGACTGTCATGTTACGACATGGGCAGGAATTTGTGCAACTTGGATTCAAGTGAAACCCAGAAGGCAAGACCTGAAGGCAATGGATTTGTTTCTCAAGCCTCGTGTTTCAGAATTGTTGCCTTGATGATGGTCTTGCCACGTCATCGATTGTTGCAGTGTGTTGCATTGTTGGAGCAGGCTCAGTGTTGTCGCCTGGATAAAAAGTTCATCTCACGGTGCCTCCTTGAACTTTGCATATTTTAAATTTTACCATGTGACTGATGAGCTTGATGTTTGATGGTCATCATTGTCATGTGACAAGAGTCTGGCAACTTGAAGGCCTGTCAGGCCGACTTCAACTTGGACTGTCTGGCCCTTGAAGTGACGCTTCACATTGTTCGCATGGCAGCCTGTGCGCAGTTACAATTGGTTTAGTTTGTTTGTGGAAGTCTTTTGCGGCAGGCAAGTGGTTCAAGCAGCTAAGCTAGTCACTCCTGCTGCCAGGTGATAGTTGACCACATGCCAAAGTCTGATCCCCATCCTGCCACCTTTTTGAGACATCAGATTTCTTGTCAGCACGTTGCCCCATCGAAAGAAACTACTTTAAGGCCCATGAAGGTCATGAAGAAGAAGGCTGTGAAGAAGTATCATTTTAAGAAAGAGAGCCTTGCTTGACATGACGAGCTTTAAACTGATTTTTTTTGATGCTTACCATTACAGTTGTTCCTGCTGAGGAAGTGCTTCCGGAAAACCAATGTGCCGATCCCCATTGATGGCCCAGCTGATGTCAAGTCTTCCTTCACCTGGGCCAAGGTGTTCATGAAGAGAATGGAGCGGGCCCTGGGCAAGGACTTTTAGCAGACGTTTACGGTCATGGTCGTGGTGTATGGGCACTGCTTTCTTGGGCTGTGGGCTGTGCAGAGTCGGTCATTAGCCTTTTAACAAATGTTTCAATTTCTTGCGCATGTGTGTGTGCCACTTGTCCCCGATTTTGAGAGGGAAAGATGGACAGTTTGCACCAAGGCAGCTTTGAGTTTGTCGAATGCTGCTAAGCCATATACGTCGTCTTCATCCAGCCATCCAGTGATCTTCGACTGGGCTGTGGAATGCAATGCCAGTTGTCAGAAGGCAGGGCACACCTCACCCAGACTGTTCATGCATCATTGGGTCTGAGCTGAGTAATTACTGTGATCAGTTTTTGGATGATTGAGGTACTCAAGAATACATATGCCATGTGCGTTGCTCCAGATATCATGGGATTCTTTCCGGAGAAGGGGAGCTGCCACTGCATGACACATGACAAGGTTTGCCCAGTGAAGTCAACTACTCGCAGCTTGCACGCACATTGAGAGTTGGTTCATGTCAAGCACACAACGTAACGGGACTGCCTGCTGAGGTATGCGTGTCAACGTGGCAGGAAGGACTGACAGAATTGAAAGACAGGCGGTTGTCAATCTTTGTCACATGCACGATAGATTTGATTTGAACCTTGTTTCAGCCAGGAGGTCCATGTGTCTCATATTCCATGATGGGCAAGCGGCGGCAAGGCCCCTGATCCTGTGGTCAAGACACATCGGCGATACTTCAAGCTTCACAAAAATGGTGACAACAGCGACATTCTGCTGTGGGAGAATGTCACAGTATGGCAGGTCATGCACGCGTGCATTGATCCACAATTGTTTGGTCTTCCAGCCAGCAGGACACGCCTTTACGCGTTGGCCTTCAGGACGGATCGTCTTGCCTGGCACCCTGACGTTCCGGACCTGCAGCAGTTGTTGAGGACATTGACTTCACGTGTCCACGGTAATTTCACATGTGATAAGTTCTGGTGGTCATCCAAGCTGGCGTGCCGTTTGTCACATGCTGATGCACCATGCTCAAACCAATTGGTGGTTTATTTCAATCGCTTCATTGATGTTATTGCTATTTTATGCGCTATTAGCCCATGACCGGCCTGAGGCAGCCAACCTCAAACAATACAGCAAGCATACGCCGAAGAAGGTCATCGTTGATTTGTCACAGATGGCAAAGAATGGTCGCGGACGCCCAAGTCCTTTGCCAACATTGTTGACAACTTCGGGGCGGGATGTTCTACAAGGCTAGCTGCAAACAATGCGTTTTAGACAGGCAGTCTGCTTATTACTTCACCCTATCTTCACCCTTTGTTTGCCACAGGTGAAACAGCGGTTCCTGAGCGTGGAAGAGGCCTTGTCCACACACTGCATCCCTGTGACACCTGAGGCAGCCAAGGCCAGCAGTAGTCCACAGTTGGACATTAGCCATGTTGCACATGGGGAAGGTGTCAAGATGGCATGGAATGCCATGAGCTTGCCCTGCGTTGGCGCAATGCTTTTGTGTGCTGTAATTGGCTTGACCAAGTGACACTTGCCACTTGCTGTATGACAATTGTTGAAGCTCAGACCCAGCTATTTGTGTCTGGGCAGGGGTTAGACAGTGGACCAACTGTCTTTTCAATATTCGATGCGGAGTGCAGGGGATTTGAAAAGTGCATGACAGATTGATTTGCTTGGACTTGGACAGATGAGATTACCTAGGCGTTTTCCGGAAAACGCCTAGGTAATCTCATCATTCACGCATCATGATTTACTTTGGCTTTACTTAGCTAAGTAAAGAGCATGTAATCATTTCGAATGTGCACATAAGATTACCTAGGCGTTTTCCGGAAAACGCCTAGGTAATCTATGAAGAAAAAGTTGGAACATTACCTCCTATGACTAATGTTGTCATTTTCTGCTGCAGTGCCACTTGCCCCCTAACAGTTGGCCGAGCCGCCATCAGACCGGGCCACCATCAGCCATGGCTCCAAAGAATCAGACTTTGACATCGCTTCTGGAACACGCTCAAAACAATCCTGATGTGGTCTCTGCGGCTGGATGTCATGAAGGTCCTGATTCCAGATGCGACATGTCTTGTTATTACACATGGCCGTTGCAGATGAGAAAGAGTAGCTGCCTTTTGGGAACTCGTTTTACCTGTCGCTGTTTTTTGCGCAATCAAGCTGTATAGCATGTCAGTGAGTTTTTGCTTTGTGGTGGCGTGGAGTCCGTGTATGTACTTGGCCAGCGGTGGCCCACAGCCGGACATTTGGCCATGTGACAGCGCCAAAACTCTCTCATGGATCTTTGGTTACAGTTGTGAGTTGTGATCCATTTGCGTCTCCCGAACCGAGGTGAAAGAGAAGTTGATGCCCGTACTCAAGAAGTTGAAGCTGATTCAGAATGAGGTGAAGGATTTGGACTCGGTGCCACCGTTGGCGATGCCAGAACAGTCAAGTGCCACTGTGACATCTGGCACCGCGACAAATGGCAGCAAGAGCAGAAAGGTGTGCTCATACAAGGAGATGTGGAAAAAGGACAACGCCGTCCAAAGGCTTCGCACAAGTGCATTGTATGAAGCAGGTGGGAGTGGTTTCTGGATGTCTTGCAGCCCGGTTGACAACTTGCCACTTACTGCTGAAGGCGATGTGCCGCGTGAAACTGATGCCAGTGCCACGTGGCCGATCCACCTTGGCAGCTGGAACCAGTTGACACAGGCCAAGGCTCCTTTGATCCAAGCCCGCATCATCATGGCCGGATTCTTTTCCCTGTGACACTTGAGACAGCTGTCAAGTGCCCCAACTGACGTCGTGTCTCCCAGCACTGGTGAGCATCCGGCCAGTTTGAAGCTGCTGTGCGGACATTTGATACATGCCGCATGGTGGCTGGCAATGCACGAGGCGATTGTGGCAAGTGACAATGAACGGATTGGGGCATTGTTTGAGGCCATGTTGACAGTCACCATTCGGGTCACGCTCTGGCTGTCAGATGCTAATGCGATGAAGGTGGCTGTGGCGTCAGCAAAGCGCACACGTGCTCTTGAGGTGTCATGTGACAACTGATCACCTTCGCCGACAAGTTGAAGATTGTCGTGGCTGACATTGTGTCATGTGACAGCGTGAACGTGACACATGCCAAATGCCTCGAGAAATTGCGGCAAGATGGCGTGCTTTGGCAGGGCATACCGGTGACGAGGAACATGCTAGTTTCATGTGACTCGATGTCAAAGAATCTGTCACGCGGTGCCGAGCCTTGCAGTCGTTCCTGGAGTCGAAATATGGCAGGTGCCTTTTGACAGATGGACCCGCGCTGCTTTATCGGTTGATAGTGTCTGTGGCAAAGTTCATTGACAAGCTCCGCTTGGGTCCCGAGCCAGGTGTCACTGATGCATTGGAGATGCTGCTCAGTTCTCTTCACTTGAGGCTGAGACAGTGACATGTGACACTGTGACCACGCAATTCTTGACAGGAAAGGAGAAGTCTTCTACAAATGGAAAGCAATGCTGGGCAGCTATGGGTCTCATGTTAATTGCTGTCATGCAGCAGGCTCGCAATGTGATTGCATTGATGGCAGATGCGACAGCTAACTTGAAACTCGTGGTGGAGACACTGCTGAACCCGGTCTTGCGGCGCCAAGAGATTCTGAAGCAACCCAAGCTGATTCAGGATTGGCTTTGCATTTTTTGCAGACTGTCATAAGGGTTCATTCTGCTGTGTACTTGACTACAATTGTGCCAACTGACACGTGTGGGTGTGGTCACAATTTTTACCAACTGACAAGAGGCATCATACATTAAATACACCGCTTTGTGATTCAGAATATTAATAAGCGGCGTGCCGTGAAGGCCAACAACACACAGCACGTGGCGTTTGACGAGATCAGCCGCACCACCGTTGAGAGTTTGAAGAGAGGCCTGTGCGCAAGCGCAGATTACAAGCGCTTCGAGCCCTTGCTGGACTGGGGGTATTCAATGGCGGATGCTCAGATGGCATGTCACATTCGTGACCTGGTGACGTGTGAAGTGAAGATCTTGTTGCAGCGTTGGAAAGCAATGACAATCCGTGCCTCAGTGAGCTGAGAGATGCGCTTGCTGCCCTGACGGAGCAGACACGTACCACTTTGACGCATCAAGATTGTGCCCCGAAGATGTCATGAAGACAATTGGCACGTGTCAATAGTGATTCCAGATGTGAGAACGCCGACCTTGGCACGGGTTCACGGGTCAATGTAATTGATGCCACGTGGAGTCATTCGTTCAGCTTTCTCAAATTGTAGCCACATTTGTCATGTGCCTTGAGCTTGTTTCATCTCAGTTGCTTGATTGCAGGAAGTGTGGGCGAAAGCGGCGGCTACGCGAAAAGGCCTCATTCACATCGATCATGGCAAGAAGGTCACCAGAGATACATTGAAGCAGTGCTTTGACCAGTCACCTGCCAAGAGCTTCAGTGGAACCTTGAATGAGAAACGCATGATGCTGGTCGTTTCCTGTGCTTGGAAGAGAAATCTGGTTGGTTGGCCCCTCCGCCTCCGGCTGGCAAAATCGGCGAATGAAAGGGCGAGCGATTGATGATTAAAAGATTGCAGAAAGGCAGAAAAATAAAAAATCCACCAAATGTCCACCCAGTATACAACACCAACGAGTTAAATATGGAAAACACTTAGGAAAATACGATAATAACTTTCGAGTAACATAAGTGTTTTATAGTCACATTTTCTTGCAACTTTCGTGAAAAATGCGACGCAGTAAAACGGAGTCATTGATCCGTAGGGCTTTACTATTCAATTAAATCTTGCAAGGATTTGACTCTGTGGCTAGATGTGTTGCCTTTCTCGGTGCCTTTCACACGTTCAGAGTGAACACTACTACCTCCATTCGCTTGACGATCGCTTAGAGGCTCTGAGAGGTTTAAACCACGCACATGGACGCCATTAAACAACATAAAATCAGCTTGCCGCTTGCCCCACCGTTCCATCTATCGTCACATCTTTCCATGCTTTCCCCCCACCGGTCTCCTTCAAAAAGACGTTGGCCTCTCGCAAGGTGGACCCAATGGACTGCAGCAATTCGATGTAGCCTTGGGACGGAAAACGCCACTGGTGTTGGAGACTGTGACCAAGTGAGGGCCTTACTTTGGGCGCCAAGAGGTTCCTAAAGACCTCAAGTAAGGATCCCAAACGCCCTGAAGGACCTTCCCCAGAACCTACTGAACCTACTTATTTGTCAAAGCAAATCTCAAGGTAATGGCATGGTCTTTGCATGTCTTTGCTGTCCTTCCACGAATGAAGGAAAATAATCAGGGACATGCATATGTGGTTCTCCATCCGCAAACCCAATAAACAATAGAACGCTATATGCCCCTGTTAAACTGCCGACAGATTCACTCCAAGGGGCTCTCTCGTTGCAGCACGTCTGCACCTCTTAGCTTGGATGCGAAAACCGCCTCCACCTGGCACCGCAGGTCCTTGGCGGAGTACAGGCTGGCGGCTGTGACCTCTACTTGCACCAACAAGAAACCTTGGCCAAGGAACAAGCAAATAGTGGGCGAAACCATATTTAGATAATTTGGCATGCCACATGCGCGTAGATTAATTGGTTTGTCCTTGTTGCAAGTGTCAACCTTCCCTGAAGTCACTCACTTGCAAACAGGTCCAGTATCAAAGCACTACCTTCACTGGACTGATAAACATTATACACATCTTTGGCCTACAATACCCATGCACTTTCCTTTGCACAACACATTTGGGCATTTGGGGCATGATTGCAGAACAAATCATTTCAGCCTCACTTGTCCTTCAGCACTAACACTTTGTGAATGGGCAAAATTAGTTGCTGAGCTGCCTACCAGCCTTAGCGGCCAGGCCGACACTTGCTCTGCACTTCTCATCCGTGCAATGTATATAAGAACCTCACATTGATGTGTAATAGACAATGACAACCACAACAACAACGATGACAACAAGAAGAAACCTTGCAACAACGAGAACGAGGAAACAACACCATGCGCGTAAGCAACCCACCACTAGAATCAGAATCAACAATGCAAGCGGTGTTTGCCCCAAACATGGTGAACGTCCATCTACAGTATCTCCCTGGTCCGCCCATGCGTCCACTTCCCTCTGTCGGGCCACATCTTTTGCAGGCTCGCTTTCAGGGTCCTGCGCGCTGCCATAAAGAGGCACATCATGGTCATGGTACATCAAAGTGCTGTGAGCCAAGTCAATCAAAGCTGGACCGCAGCTTCCCCTCAAAAAACATTCCCAGTGCCCAAGCTACAGTGTGATCTTCCTGCCTGATTTCTCTGGGTCAAGCTTTGTGCTGCAGCTGCACCAGTCCCAGCGACATGAGGCGGTGGACTCGTCTCCTGCAAAGACCCCAGGATTCATCGAAGGACAACCCTATGAATGTAAGCCCAATAGTTATCCTATTAAGTTGAAGCTTTTCTGTTAAACTGTTGGAAAAAGCACCTCAACAACATTCCAGCTTGTGGTGACACGCTCAATTCGCCCCCCTGTGTGTTTGAGAATCTTCTTGGAGGTCGTTCTAGGATTCAAGAAGCTCCCTTCAACTTACGACATTATCCACTCTTACGCGGCAACCGCTTGCCCAGGCCTGATCCTGAGGTGGTCTAACATGAGGTGCAGGCCGCCTCTGAAAAGCATGAATCAGAACGGAAACGAAACATCCAGTCAAGCCAAGCTGTTACTGAACATAAACTAAATATCTGTGGACCTAAACAATTGATCACACAGAGCTTTCTGCGATCCGGCCTGTTATTGGGCGGCGGCCTCAGGAAGCGTTGGTACTGGTTTGGCCATGAATCTTTGATCTTGTCTGGCTCCAAGAAAGAACTCAATCCTTCGATCTATGTGTGAATGTATCGGCGTCGTTCCGACAATTTCAAAAAAAAAGATCCTACATTCTATGTGGAGTGAGTTAACACCAGCCTGGAAGAAGTAGGAGGCGAATGAATGCCAGCAGTCACATGTCAGTATATAATATACATCATCACTATGAGCCCCTTCAACAATCTTTGGGCTCCCAAAAGGGTGGCTTGCACGGTGAGGCAGGTGACAAACAAATCACGACCAAACGGAACTGGAGTTCTGTGGAGGCCAAAGCCGCCGAGTGGCTCCGCTGGAGCCGCTGGCTGTAGCCTGGCAACACGTTTCTGCGATCATGTTGTGGTCCCCAAGAGGAAGGTCTATCTGTACGGGGAAATAGTTGAACGTTTAAGACCAAGGACCAGGACAAAACCCAAAAGAAAAACACCAAAAAACAGCTATAGGCTATAGACATGTAACACCATACAATAAACCACAAACAATAGGCATCAACAAAAACAAACAACATGAAAAGCCAAAGGCACAAAATTAGGAATAAACACAAACAAGCAATACCTAGATATAGCCCATACCCTCCTTTGTTGTTTGTCAGCCTCACATGTGTCATAGCATTAAGGTACCTAAAAGCCTTGGGCAGTTAACGTCGTTGCAATGACAGCTGACATGAAGAAGGTCTACAACCCTAGTGGGGCACACAAGGGCAAAACGAGGCTTGTTCTTACTTCACAGGGTGACACAGTCAGATTATAATTAAAGATATATGTATATATAGAAAGCCGAGCGAGCGAGCGAGAGGGAAACCAGCCACCGAATGTGTCCAAAAATCCTCAACATACACACACATGTATATATATATATATATAAATATATGAACCAGCTTGAGTCTCAACCAATCAACCTCAAAGAGTGCACTCCAACGAAAGGCTTTTCTTCCCATCGATGTGGTGCCGGACAATGCAAAACGTCAAACGACCAAAACCGCACACCTCGACAAACAGCCATTTCAATACATCGTGCACAAAAAGCATGTCCCTATGTAAGAACCACAAGTGTAATGACACATCCCATCTTCCACTCCACGGCATGATGGTTGATGTTGATTTTTCCGCAGTTCCCTTTCATCCGGGCTACGGCTAAGGAGTGGCACCCAGTGAAAAGTGGTTGGGAACCTACAAACATTCAGGGTGATTATTCGAGGTAACCAGGCCTGTCAGAGATCTCAGACTTCTCGCCGCTCTCCATAGCAGGCTGGTGCTGCGATGTCAAATATCACCAGGAAACTCATATGCATGTGTCATTGAGATATCTCGGTATACAAGCGTGCCAGAAACACTAAACACGATAGTAAAACCTAGTAAACTGCATATACATTCTAGTGACCAAGCCTCATTGTGCTGAGCCCACATCGCCGATCATCAAGATGCAACTCAAACATCTCCCATGGTCCCATGGTGGCAGTTGCGAGCAGTTTGTCAAAAGGACAACCTGCGAGAAAACAGTGAAAAAAAACAGGGGAAACACACAAAATGGACATACGTACTTTTTCGTTCCGAAGCCATTTGGGCATCGCCTGGCAAGCGCTGCACCTCGGCCAGTGACCCGCCTAGCGTGCTAGGTCAGGAACAGGCGAAAACCTGCATATAAACTAATTCGAACAGCGTGATCATTAAATGACATAAGCATGTAACCAGCGTAGACCCCAAAGAGGATGAGCGGATGGCTGGTTGAGACGCTGGCTGATGGCTGGTGTAACAGAATGTAAAACACCTTGCTCTAGGGTGGAACAAAATCATACTAGACAATTCCTGACATATATGCAGTATACATACACGGTAGGTGCAGCCGAGCTGCTGCCCTGCTGCCCTGTACAGGTAAGGCTCATCAGCGAACCATTGCCACAGCAGCATGCCACGGCAAAAAGGGACATTAAACATGTTCTTCCGAAACTGAGAACGTCCTGGTACTTCTCCCGCCCCGCTGTGGAGCAGCTGTTGCACAAACTCAGGTGATCAAACACCTGACAATGGCTTGAGCAAGTCACACCAGAAGGAAGCCGTGTATAACGATCGTCGTCTTTCTGCCACAAATGTGCGAAATGTTCATTCCGATAAGATAAGAGACGTGCACCTCTGAAGACGCAGTCTGAGTCTGATCCCATTCCGGTGCGAAGAAACATATAGAGCGAACAAACATTTGGTTTTCTTACCTCGAAACTGCAAACTAACAACTCTTTCATCACCACATACTTCTGCTCTGCGCGCATCACTGCAAGCCCAGCAGTGCAGGAAGCGCAGCCTCAGTGCCCGCCACCAGGTTTTCCACCACCAGCGCCAGCGCACGGCAGCCCGCGCCCTGTGGACCAAATCGAGCCTTCACTGAGGCCGGGCGTAGATCACAGTATTCTTGCCGCTGAAGGGTAGTGTCGTCACCTGCGGTGACGGAACAGTCCCACCGAGTATCTTCTGGAGACCTGGAGAACAATTTGAACGTCATATCAGAGTCATATCATATCAGAGAGAACTGGAGGGCTGGTCCGAAAGCATCCAACAGAATCCTCAAAACAAGACTGGCGCGACACACGTGTGGCTAAATTCTGCTCATGCTTACCTTTAAAATGGCCTCTACCAGTGACTTTTGGGCTGGTATGCTTGATCCAATCGCATGCGATGCGGTGCCAAATTGGTCCACACAACAGCCCACCCAAATGTCTCGATCTTCGTCGCCGATCCGTTTCGCGGCCTTTCTGCACCATCTCCTAGGGCCTAGGGGTTCTGTTCCTTTATTGCTTGAACCCATGCACATGTTGAGCCCAGCCCCCAAGCACCACCCATGTGAATGTTGTCAAGAGGCGGATGGTCTCCAATATTCCACCACAGGTGTGCCTGCTCCAAAGAATGTTAGTTGTGCTTCAACTGTACTAATAAGTTTGGCAAGTTCTACCAAATTATATTGCGGAAACCTCCGCGATCAACAAGGGGCGCTCCTGGAAATTCATTGCTGTACCCGACTTGGGCAAAATAAAAATGACCCTGGGTCAATGGTACTATTCTTTGGCACTCCAAACCAAATCCAATAGCAATACCGAGGAGTCAGCTTTCAGGGTCCCATGGAGCAATGCTATTCCGTTCCTATCCTGTTGCCCATTGCCAACGGGCAATCCCCACCGACCACACCACTACTTATATATATATATATACATTACATGTGTACATCACTACTGTTCAGAGTACTTCC